ACACACACTCTCTGAGCTTCAAGGGTCAAGAACATGGAGGGAAGGCCGTGTATTGGTCCCCATTATCTGAGGCCCACCTGCTGCAGAAGTGGCATTCGGTGCCCAGTAAGCATGGGTAAGCTCATCCCAGCGCTGCCCTTTGGAAGCAGACTATAGGGAAACCTGTTGTTAAAAGATCCAGTCCTAACCTCTTTTCTGACCTGCTTGAGAAAGTGGAAAGGGATGTCAGCATTTACCAGTTTGCTTGTCTTCCATTCCTGCCAGGAAATGTTTATTTGCCTCTAATTGGACCTGAGAGACCTCAGGGAGGTTGGGGCTCACTGAGGGGTTGGCTGAGGATGTGTAAAGCAAAGGCTATGAGAAGCAGCTGGGAGTTTGTTGTTGTTGGATTGAATTTCCCTTTTTTTTTTTTTTTGTTTCTCACCCATAACTTGAGCCAGGGCAGCAGGTCCCAGTGGCTGCAGTGGTGGGTTTAATGGCTGCCGGACCCTTAGGCCTGGCACCAGTGGAGATACATACTGAAGCAGCTGCCAAATAGCTTGTGAGGCTTTATCCAGCTTTGGTTGACCCTGCACAACTGAATTGGACCTGCCATTCTGGTTTATTGGAGGAAGGGCATTCTCTTCAATTTCCAGGGTGTCTTAGGATCCAATTCCTCATGTTAGGGAAGAAGACCAAAGCCCACACGTTTTCTTCCTCATGGAATTGAACCTGTTATTTTCTTGGCTTCCCACATGTTGGATAGGAGTGTCACCGAGGCTGCAGTCTCCTCCCCTCCACTCCTGAGGAGGTGGCCATTTATACTTGAGCCTCTGGCTCTAAAGGTTCTACCCTTCCGAGGCTCTTCCCCTTCTCCTGCTAGTTACCAGGTATTATCAGTGAGCTACCAGGTCTGTAGGGGTCTGAAAGAGGCTCTCTGGAGAATCCAGGGAAACTGTGAGCCAGCAGTTGCCCATCCTTGGTTTCATCCCTCCCTTGGCTCTAATCTTTCTTTAGGCCATAATTTCCCTGGTGCCAGCTTTTTTTTCTCCTGGGGCATCCTTATCCCTGGGCTCTCTGCTGCATATTGGCTGTGCCAGCTTCCAGTAGGCCACTGGCAAGGCCAGTGGGGTCTCTGCAAGCCCTAAGCTGAAGAAGTGAGGGCAGTAATCCTGCCTCTGCCATGGCTTCCCCAACGCCCCTGGGGGTGCGAGCCTTAGGGGAGAGGGTCTACCGATACCATATTTGAATTCTATTACTTTAAGATCTGGAAAGTTAAACTAGTTGAAACTGTCATCTTGCTTCCCAATCTAAGCACCCATGACCCTGGGACAAGCCTTTTCAAGAAGTGGTTCATTTTGCTTTACACAGTAGATCTGTTCCAACAATTCTGTGTAAGCCAAATGCTATTTTGCGATGCATTTGGACTGCTGACCATTTAAAAGCAGCCTGTGTGATTGCTTCTTTTGTAAAGCAAGCAACCTCCCTCTACTTTAGCTGTTTTGACTATTCGGATTTTCACATATTGGGCTTACCCAGAGTGGAGCACATCTTTACAGGGCTGTGGTTGACGCTGGGTAGACATCTGCATCTGTGTTGTGTGTGTGGTGTGGCTGACCAGTAGGTGAGTATTCCTGCGTGTGTGAGTGAAGCCACTCCCAGGCTGGTGCTCTCCTCCTGTGCCCGGTGACTGCCCAGTGGCAGCTCCAGCTGCCCTTCACTCCCACCTGCTGCCAAAGTCCCTGTGCTAATGGGATTACAAATACAAAAAGTGGAAAAAAATTTTTCGTAAACTTTGTTTTATATTAAAGAAATCCATAAGTCTGTGTGTGTTAAACATGAGGTCCTGCCTCTGTGGCTGTGTTTGAAAAAATAAAGTTTTATTAGAATAATTCCTTTTCCCAAGCAATCTTGTGTACTCTAGTGTCTTCTTCCCTTCTCCACAAAGAAAGGCAAGGAGGAAGCAGGGAGAAGGCCACCTAACTCCAGTAGCCCCTTCCTCTAGGGCATGGCTGGGCCTTCACCCTTTGAGGGCGGTATCTGGTCCCTAGGCCCTTCACAGCCATGGCAGTCATATCCTGTGGCCCAGGCTTGTGTTAAGGCCTTGGTTATTTCTGGCAGTCTGATTTGATCTTTGTTGCCCTGGTACCTATGTCCTCTTCCTACGGTCACTCTTCCAGCAAGTTGAAGTCAAGTATTTATACATTCTAGCTCCCTGAGAAATGTTTGATGACCCAGTCAGGAACTTGTCTAGATTGGTTTGTAGGCTTTAGGAAGTGGGGAGAAAGCAGGCCGAGAGATTTGACTGGGAATCTTTTCCTTTTTTAAGAGTTTTCACATTTTATACCCTGGAGAGATGGAGATTTAGTCATCAGAAATCAGATTCCAAAGACCTAGGCAATTTCTCCATTCTAAAAATACCGCTTTTGGAAAATTATCCTAACAGCAGAGCTTCTCTTTTGCCCTAGAAGTTGGTGTTTTCCATAATGCTTCAATTTGGGATGTTCGTGTGTTCAGGGAAGCTTTGTGGTTCACTCTCTTTAGACATTGCTATTCCACCCTTTTCCCTATGTTAGCATTCTTCCAGTTTGTGTGGGTGAAATGTAGTTGCTTAGAGATCCAGGCAGGAAGGAGCCTCTGTCCCTAAGGCATAGCCTTTCTTTACCAGTTGTGGTGCTGACTTGCCAGGCGCAAGAAGAGTCAAGTTGCTTAGCCTCCGTCCCAGTTTCCTGCTTCAAATTTGTGGCACTCATCTTTGAATACCAATGAAGTGTGCAGGAGGACAGGATTGGTTTGATAACCTGGAGCAGGAACCTTTGAGGGGATGAAAATACACTCCAAAAAGAGTGGGGGTTGTCACCTGCCCCACAAACAAAGGAGGGGCTTTGAGGAGGGGGGGGCTTTGGCATGTGGTTAAAGAAGGCTCAGTATCAGAAGTTTTTTCTTTCTTTAAAACTGCTGCTGTTTTCATTTCACCTACTGTTTGAGCAAGGGTAAAGTTTGAACATCCAAATTGACTTTCCTTTTTTTCCTTTATGTTCATTCCGTTGTTGCTATTAGATTTTTATACTGTTTATTTTCTGTGAGGCAAAGTGAGATTTCATTTTCCGTTCATGAAGTGTGCTAGTACAGGAAAGAATGTAAACTCCATGAGGACAAGGGTTTTGTTCAGTGTTGCATCCCCAGCACGTTGAAAAGTTACTGGCACATGGAAAGGGCCTGCCATATTTGTTGAATGAATTTCTCATCTTTGCCTTCCCATCCCTGAACTTAGGCACATTTCTGTCTCTGGTGCTGAGAAGCCAGCTTTGGAACACTAGGGCAATAATTAGAGCTCCATTCAGGAGAAAATCCCAACGGTGAATTTTGGTAGAAAACCTGCAAGGCAGCCAGCCAGGTTTTAGGAATTCACCCTTGTTCTCCTCTTAACAACTGACAGTTTGTGGGCCGTGTACTTTAAGAGATGTCTCTTGGCCCAGGAAAGCATTCTGATTCAGGCCTCAGGTTGGCTTATGTGAGATGGAAGTTCCAAGGAATAAAGAGAGAAAAAGTTCAAGGAAATGTTTCCTTGGTGCTCCACAAGGTTAGTTCTAGAATGACTTCCCAAAGGTTTCATACTTTGTCTAAAGTCAGTAGTTGCTGCCTTCTCCCCCTTGGAGCCTTAGACGTTTGCTGCAAGAAAAGTATGTCAAGGGTAAAGAAAAGGTATGGACAGGAGTTAACTGGGTAGACACATAAGTCTTAGAGAAAGAACCGGCTACTGCTCTGTCTATAGGGCAGATCACTGAAAGAAATGGTCACTTTTAGGATAACAATCAGGGATTATTTCTAGACCCTTTGTCTATGTGGTTTGTGTCTACTTCCATATATACTCATTCTGCATCCGTAAGACCATGCAACCTGTGCTAATCTGATACTATCGATGTTAATGATTGAGGTTTCCCAGTGCGTGGTGTGCAAGACCATCTAGGCCAAAATTTCAGTATCTCCCCTTCTCTACGGTCCCTTTTCCATCAGGAGTTATCAATCTCTCACACCTATATTAAATGAATTGAGATAAGAGTGGTGGGGTTTTCTTTGCCCCCACTCCCACTACTTCCATGGTAAGATAAGGTGCTATTGAACCAGAGAAGAGAATCTCTTTATTGCTGGTCTCATCCCAATTCCCCTCAAAGTTTAACTGAGAAACACCTGTACTTAAAACATTGGCAGACTTGGAAAGGGAAGAAGTTCCATGGGTTTAAGTCAAAATACCAGGATTTTGGAAGCACATGGGCCTTCACCCAGTGGAAAGAATGGTATTGTAACATCCACTGGATGTAGCACATTGGTCAATTGGAAAGGAACCTATGACGTACTGGTAGTATAGAATAGGATGGTACTATGTTATGGGCCAGTGAGAAGAAAGATATTGTGTCCCATGGGCCAATGGGGAGAGTTTCCTAAAAGATAGTTACAGGAATGGTAAGGGCGTGTTTTCAGGACAGGAAATCAATAGATATTGGGGCGCTAACTGCTTAGCTCAAAACACCAACTCTAGGTACCTTGCCCCTCAAGCCCCGCCCACCCCAGTAAAAGTCTTTGGTGTCTGAGGCAGGTAAGCTAAAGCCTTCTCACATATGGGACCCCCCCAGAAGGAAGGTTGGGACCAGGATGGTGCCATGAAGACTGAAGGACCCGCCCACTTCCCCACCCCAGCCGAAACTGCAATTCCCCTCCCTGCCGCAGGGGGCACTGCAGGCCCCGGGGAGGTTGGGGCGGAGCGCTGCAAGGGGCCCGGAGCTGCCGCCCCGCTCCAGAGCGCGGGGGGCGCTGTGCGGGGCCCG